TTTCAAAATCATTTTCAGTCATTTTTGGCCATTTTCAGATATTTTCAGGCCATTTCTAGCCAATTTTAGCTATTTTTGAAGCTATTTTCAGTCATCTTTCAACCATTTTCAGGTCAATTTTAGACCATTTACAAGCCATTTTTAGGCAATTTTCAGGCCATTTTCAGTCATTTTTTCGCCAATTTTAGCCATTTTTAATCATTTTTAGGCCGTTTTCAGTCATTTTCAGGCCATTTTTAGCCATTTTCGAAGCTATTGTCAGTCATTTTGAAGCTATTTTCAGCTATTTTTAGCCGTTTTCAAAATCATTTTCAGCCACTTTCAGTCATTTTTCAATCATTTTTAGACATTTTTGACGCTATTTTCGGCCATTTTCAGTCAATTTTAGGCAATCTTATGCTCATTTTAAGCCATTTATTGGCCATTTTCAGCTAGCTACTTCCTGTCATTTTCAGCCTATTTTTGACCGGTTTCTGAAAATGACCTAAAAAGGCTGAAAAAAGCCTTAAAATGTGGACATTTTCAGCCATTTTCAGCCAATTTTCAAAATACAGTAATCCCGAAAAACACCAAAAAAAGAAGAGAAAAGCTACAGTACCATGCACATTATCCATAGCACCAGTGAGATTCGTTGAGACAAGCAATCCAGCTGGTCCCCCACCGCCTCCACTGCTCTGCATCGAACGGAACGATGTGAGTGATGCGCTTCGAGATGACGCTGAATCGCCGGCTGAAAATCGAGAAACTGAAACTGAAAATTTGGAAAAAAAAAACTAGAAAATGGGCGGGAACGAAAGATAGGAATTTCAGGCAAATTTTAGGCAATTTTAGGCCATTCTTGACAGTTTTAGGCGCTTTTTTTTTGGCTATTTTCGGTCAATTTAAAGCATTTTCAGTGCATTTTCAGGATGATTCTCAAAGTGATATTAGGCCAATTCAGGCATTTGGGGCTATTTAAGGCCATCTCAAACAGATTTATGCGAGTTTCAGGCGCTTTTAAGGCCTATTTTCGACCATTCGCGACCATTTTCAGCGATCCTAGGCCGTTTCATGCAGGTTTTAGGCCATTCTAGGCCACTTTAGGCAAATTTCAGGGTTTTTGTGGGCCATGTTAAGGTCAATCTAGGTCAATCTAGGTCAATCTAGGTCATTTTAGGCGGATTTCTGGCCACCTAAGACGCTTTTTTGGCCCTGCCAGGCGATTTTTGGCCATTTTTTGGGGTTATTTCGGGTCATTTTAGCCATTTTTGAGGCTATTTTAGGCTATTCTAGGCCGATTAAAGGGGGTTATAGGCCATTCTAAGCAGTTATAGGCGCGTTTTAGGCCTTTTCCAGACTATTCTAGGCGGGTTTTTGAGCAAATTTGAGCAAAATTTAGGCTTTTTTCAGATAATATTAATTAGACCTTTGGTTTATCAATTTCAGGTCTTTCTAGACCGATTAGTGCGGGTTTCAGGCCATTTTAGGCCACTTAGGCAGTTTTAACGCAATTTAGGCTCAGTAATTTATGCAATTTTTGGCGGTTTTAAACGGTTTTTAAGCCATTTCAGCTCAAGCTAGGCCCTTCTAGGCCCTGTTGTTAGGCCATTTTGAAGCAATTTTCAGCCTAGTTCTTCTCATACGATTCTAGGCCTTCTCAGGTTTTTTAGGCGCATTTTAAGCCATTTTTGACTGTTTTAGGCCCCCCTTTTCGGGTAATGTTAGGCCATTCTTAACTATTTTTAGGCTGGTTTGAGGCAATTTCAGGCCTTTTCAAGACATTTTTAGGTCGTTCTAGGCCGTTTTTGCTGGGCTTCGGCACTCTACCTGATCAAAACTATCAATTCTAGGCTGTCCTGGGGCAATTTCAGGTCATTTTAGGCAGTTTCTAGACCATTTTAAGCGGTTTTAAGCTATTTCAGGTCTGATTCCGGACATTTTTAGACTAGTCTTACACTATTCGACTTTCTTAGGCCATTCTAGACAAGTCTAGGCCGTTTTAGGCGGATTTCAGGCATTTTTAGGGGGGCCAGTTTAAGCTTTTCTAGGCCCTTTAAAGCAAAATTTAGGCTTATATAGACGCATTTTGAAGCGATTTCAGGCCGATTCAGGCCTTTGTTAGGCCATTCTAGACCAGTCTAGGCCGTTTTAGGCGGATTTCAGGCATTTTTAGAGCCAGTTTAGGCCATTTTAGGCCTTTCAAAGCAAAATCTAGGCTAATTTAGGCGTGTTTTTAGACTTTTCGAAGCAATTTAGTCTCATTCTAAGCTGTTTTAAGCAGATTTCAGGTCATTTTAAGCCATTTTCAGGCATTTTAGAACTATTTTTTGGCCATTCCAGGCCATTTTAGGACAATTTTAGCGCCTTCTAGACCGCTTCAGGTCGTTCCAGACGGGTTTCAGGCCATTTTAAGTGAATTGTTTGACAATTTCAGCGCATTTCAATGGGGTTTTCAAGCCTTTTACAGAACATTTTCTCACCTCTTCCAATGGAATGCGGCTCGTTTCCATGAAAATCGAGATCATCGTGTGCTGGACCACCGCCATTCGATTCGCTGCCATCTTTGCCCTCCGTCTCATCCAAATACATCAATTTTCGCATTTTCTTATACTGGAAATTGTCCAATTCGAGTACCATGTTCTTCGTCCGCTGAATCAGCTCCTGAATTGTGTCCGATGGGCGTGGCTTCTGAATGAACGGATGACGGAAGCATTCCTCGGCCGACATCCGTTCTTCTGCCGGCTTTCGGAGACATTTATCAATGAATTCAACGAACTCCCGAGACCATTCTGGCTGTTCGGAGGCGTCGTCGATTGGTGACAGTGTTGGCGGGTCGTTCTGAGCAATGTGATAGAGGGCAGACATCGCGTTCATACTGAATAGTGGCGGACGGCGTTCGGCTGCAAAATTTGGGGGGGTTGAGAGTGATAAGAAAAGGGGCGGAGCTTGGGCGCATTTTTGAGGTTTCAAATGCGATTTTTAGGCACTTCTAGGCCATTTTGTAAGTCAATTTCGGCCAATTTTAGGCTCTAAATCGGTCAAAATGGGAATCAATAGATCTCATTTCACGCAGTTCTGGGCCAGTTTAGGCGGTTTTTCGGCAAGATTTAGGTCAATTTAGGCCGAATTCAGTCCTTTTTAAGCCATTTTGAGCGATTCTAGGCCATCAGATCATTCTAGCACATTTAAAGAGGTTGAGAGTGATAAGAAAAGGGGCGGAGCTCTAAAAATCCGAAGTTTTGAAAATTGAAAAACACAGTTTTCAGACGAAATTTGACATTTTTAGGCCAGATTTCAACCCATTTTAGGACGATTTTGACTGTTTTTAGGCGGATTTCAGGCGCTTTTAAGGCCTATTTTCGACCATTTGCGACCATTTTCAGCGATCCTAGGCCGTTTCATGCAGGTTTTAGGCCATTCTAGGCAATTCTAGGCAATTCTAGGCCATTCTAGGCCACTTTAGGCAAATTTTAGGGTTTTTGTGGGCCATTATTAAGTCAAATTAGGCCATTTTAGGCGGATTTCAGGCAACCTGAGACGCGTTTATGCAATTTTGGTCAGAATTTGGGGGATTTTTCGGAAAATTATTATTCGTTGAAAATCCAAATTTTTGACAAAATTCATCAGTTCTAGGCTAACGTTTTCCACATTTTCAGCAACACTTTTCGGATTTTTCCCCCGCTCAGAATTCAAAAATTTTTGTCGTTTTAGGCGGTTTTTAGGGCCATCTTAAGCTGAATTCAGTCCTTTTTAAGCCATTTTAAGTGATTCTAGGCCATTACAGGCGCTTTTAGAGGTCATTTCAGACCACTTTTGGTAGTTATAGACTCCGTTTTATGCCATTTTTGACAATTTTAGCACATTTAAAAAAGGGGTTTAGGCAGTTTTAGGTAAATTTTAGGCATTCTAGGCCGTTTTAGGCCAGGTTTCCGTCCATATTAGGTCAATTTGGAGCATTCTTCAGCGATTTAGACTACATTCAGGCCATATTCGGACGTTTTTCGGTCATTCCAGGTCGTTTTAAGCCGGGGGGTTTGCAGCAAATCTGGGTGAAACTAAATCATTTTTGGGGAATCGTGTAGGCAAATTTAGGATGTTTTAAGCCATTTTAAGCCATATTGTGACAGTTTAGGCCAATTTTAGGCCCTTTTTCAAGTATTTTGGGTCATTTAGACAAGTTTAAAGCTTTTTCGAAAACTATTCTAGGCCATTTTTAACTGTTTCAGGCCAATTCTAGGCCTATTTTAAGGCATTTTCCAGCCAATTTTGTCGAATTTCAGCTATTTTTTTCAAATCTTCACAAAAAAACTCACCCAATTCTATGCACGTGATTCCGAGTGACCAAATATCGGCTCGATCTGAGTAGTGGCCTTCGTCCATCGCTAAAATCACTTCTGGAGCCATGAAGAATGGTGTTCCGATGAACGTTTGAGCCGGATCGACGAGAGACGCCGAACCGAAATCAGCTGCAAAAATGAAGGGATTTTCAGACGTTTTCAGCCAAATTTTGATGATTTTTTGATGAATTTTGTGCTAATTCTATTGATGAAAGCAATTTTTTAGCAAAATTTTAAGCCATTTCCACGAAATTTCGACTGTTTCTAGGTCGATTTTCTGGTAATTTCTGCCATTTTTTATGTTAAAATATGAATTTTTGAAGCCATTTTCAGACAACTAGAGCCTTATTCTGAACTTTTGGATCATTTTTTTCCGATTTAACTATTTTTAAGATACTGTAAACGCTCTAATCGAAGACCACTCACAGTACTTGAACTTTGAACTCGTATATCTCGGTTCCTGTAGCAGGTATCAAAACGTTGTCAACTGATAAATCACTTATCATAATGTCAACAGTATTTTATCAGTTGACAACTTTTTGATATCTTTTAAAGGGATCAGGATAAAATGGCTCAAAGTGAAAGTTGAGGGTGGCCTTCTATTATTGTGTTTACGGACATTTTTAGACATTTTTAGCCAAATTTTCGATAATTTTGAGCTGAATTTCATCCCTTTCGAGACAAATTGATGAATTTTGAGTAATTTTAGGTCGATGGTGACCATTTTTAGGCTATTTTTATCGTTGAATAATGAATTTTAGGTCATTTTAAGCCTATTTTTCATTTATCTCTGATCATACTTGAGCATTTTTAGCCAATTTTTGACAGACTTCATTGTTACAAGACTGAATTTAAGCCATTTTCGGGGTATTTTCCGGGTCAATTCTGACCATTTCGAGACGTTTTCAGCCAATTTTTAAGTGATTTTCAGACAACTTTCAGCAAAATTTCAGATAGGTTCTGTGCAAATTTTTTCATCATTTTCCTAAAATTTAACGCCTTTTTTAGGCCGATTTTTAACACATTCAGCTGATTCCAATTTCGAATTTTCAGTCATTTTCAGACGAATTTCAGACAAATTTTTGCCGATTTTCCGGGTCTTTTCGGGTCCGTTCTGACCATTTTTCAGCCAATTTTAAGCTTTCTTTTTTCGAATTTGCAGCGATTTCTCAGCAATTTTCCGGTCTTTATTTTGGTCGATTTTCACTATTTTCAGCTCGAAATTTGATGATTTTCAGTCATTTCCAGACAAAATTTGCATACTTTTTTAAATATTTTTCTAGATTTTTTAACAAATTTTCGTGACATTTTTGCGTCTTTTTAGGTCGATTCTGACCATTTTTGAGCCTTTTTCAGCTAATTTTCAGTCAATTTTCAGCTGTTTTCGCTCATTTTTTCTCCAAAAACGTTCTAAAAACACTTACCTAGCTTCACAATCGCTTGATCGGACAGTAAAATATTTCCAGCCTTTATATCTCGATGTATCCGTTTCAGACTGTGCAAATAGCGAAGAGCATCGAGAGTTTGTGAGCAAATCGCCGCAATTTCCACTTCTCGCATTCCTTTTCGAAGCACGTCTACTATGTCGGCTGCCGAGCCGATACAGTACTCCATTACGAGCTGAAAAACATGGATTTTTGCATTTTTGGGGGTTTTCTGTGTGTCCGGATGTCCGGATGTCCTGATTTTTAGAGTTTTCTGTGTGTCCGGATGTCCGGATTTTGGAATTTTCGGGGGTTTCTGTGTGTCCGGATGTCCTGATTTTGAATTTTTTGGGATTTTCTGTGTATCCGGATGTCCGGATTTTGGAATTTTCGGGGTTTTCTGTGTGTCCGGATGTCCGGATTTTTAAATTTTCGGGGGTTTCTGTGTGTCCGGATGTCCGGATTTTGGAAATTTTTTGGGGTTTTCTGTGTGTCCGGATGTCCGTTTTTTATGTAAAAAACGTAGTAAAAAGATTTTTCAAGATTTTTCAGAATTTTCAAAATTTCAAAATCGATTTTCGGCTCATTTTTACTGGATTTTTTCAAAATTTTCAGTGAAAAAATCCCAAAAATTTCCAAAAATTCAATTTTTCGGGTTACTGTAGCTTCCTTTTCTTTAAGTTTCAGCAATTTTAGTAATAATAAAAAACCTACCCAACAAGTGGTTTCTTTTAGGAAACAAGCCTTATAGTCAACGATGTGTCGATGGACTACTGTATTCAGAAACGAGACTTCTTTTAGAATATCATTCCATTTCTCAGTCGCCTGTTTTCCACTGAAATTCATCTTTTTGATCGCCACCGTTTGCTCGTTCTCCTTGTCGTACGCCTGCAAAAACATTGGAATCTCTAGCTTGATTTTTGAGATTTTTAGGTCAAAATTTGGCAAAAAATGAGTTTTTGAGAGCCAAAAACAACAAAAAATAAGCTTATTTTCAGCAGTTTCAACCCTTAAAATCGATTTTTTGAACCAAAATTTGAATTTTTAAATTGCTAAAAAACAGCAATTTTTCTATTATTTTTTCAGAAAACACTCTCGAGAAAAATGGTTTTAAAACCAAAAAAATTTCTATTAAAATTTGTGATTTTGGCCCGATTTTTTTTTTCATTTTTTCAGCAATTTTCAGCCATTTTCAAAAGTGATTTTCGCTGAAAATCTGCTATTTTTTCAAATTTTCACTGGAATTTTCTACGATTATACAGATATTCCGGGGTTTTTCGGGTCGAAAATTCGAGAAAAATGGTTTTTTTTAAAGTTAAAAATGACAATTTTCAGGCAATTTAAAACGAAAATTTCCATTAAGAATTGTGATTTTGGCGGCCATTTTTTTCCCATTTTTTTCAGCAATTTTTCTAACATTTTTATCTTTAAAATCAGTCATTTTTTCCTGGAAATTCGTAATTTTTCTCCGATTCTTCAGAGATTTTTCTTGGAATATTTGTCCATTTTTCTAGAATTTCCGAAAAATTTTCAGAAAGTTTTCAGGATTTTTTATCAGAAAATTTTGAAATTTTCGTAGTAGAAAATCATCAAAATTTCAGTCTGAATTTGTATTTTTGTATTTTTTGTCGATTTCTCAACGCATTTTCACATAGAAAAATCAATTTTTCAGCCAATTTTCAGTCATTTTTATAGATTTTTCAGAAAAAAATCATCGCTTTTTTCCAGACCAATTTTCGTATTTTTCTAAAAATCTGTCATTTTTCTCATTTTTTTTTTCTGGAAATTTCTACGATTTTCCAGAATTTTTAGTCAATAAATTTGTTAACTTCTCAGCAATTTTCAGATTCTTTTTTGTATCAAAACTCCATTTTTACCGTTGAAAGTATCATTTTTCAGCTATTTTTGCATTCAAATCGGTTATTTTGTCCAAAATTTTGGCATTTTTTCGCATCGAAATCTCTAAAAATGACTCACAAAATAAACGGCACCAAACGATCCATGTCCGATTTCTCTCAAATCCTGATACCGTACTTCTGGATCTTTTGTACTGAATAATGCGGCTATCACCGGGTCCTTGATCACACCGGGCTTTTGTAAAACGGCCGATGGAGCCATTGCTCAGCTTATTTTGAAAAGGGGGAATAATAATAATGATAATATTATTAATTAATTTAGGTTTATTAGTATTGATTTTTGATCGAATCAGAATCTTCTTTTGAATAAAGTAGTCGTCGTCACCGGAGACATCAGCCAGATTTTTCGAATTTTTCGACGTTTTTTCGGGTAAAAACGAAAAGATCTGGAAATTTGAGAGAAATTAGAGAGAAAATGAGCTAGAAAAGGAGCGAAATAGGCTAAAAATAGGCGAAAAAAACAGAAAAAAATGAGCTGAAAAATCGGGTACAAATTGGCTGAAATGGAAGAAAAACGAGATAAAAATGACACAGAAATTTGAGCAATAGATAGGAAAAATGAGGATTTTTAGGGTGTTTTTTTGTAAAGATGAAAATTGGAAAATCGACATTTTCAGCTAATTTTTAGCCCGAAATTCGATATTTTTAGCTAATTTTCGGGCCAAAATTCGACTTTTTTCCGCTATTTTCAGCCAAAAAATCCACATTTTCAGCTAATTTTTAGTTTAAAAATTGGCATTTTCAGTGATTTTTAGCCAGAAAATCGACATTTTCAGCTAATTTTTAGCCTGAAATTCGATATTTTCAGCTAATTTTTAGTCAAAAAATCGATATTTTCAGCCAATTTTAAGCCAAAAATCCACATTTCCAGTGATTTTTTGGCCAAAAATCGACATTTTCAGCTAATTTTTAGGCCAAAAATCGACATTTTCAGCTAATTTTCAGGTCAAAAATCAGCATTTTTACCTATATTTTTAGTGAAAATCACTGTTTTTTGTCTCAAAAAAAAGACAAAGAGTATGCATGCGACAGTCGGAAAACAGGTAGACAAAAATCGGATTATCGGCAACACTTCCGATTTTTTGTTTCGTATTTTTCAAATGTTTTTTTTTGGTTGGACAATTATAGAGAAATCTGAAAATTATGGTCAAATTTCAAATAAAATATGTCAAAAATAGCAAATTTTGGCTTAAAAATAACCTAAAAATCGGAGAAAATGCGAGTTTTTCGTTCAAAAAATCACATTTTTCAGCTAAAAATTTGGAAAAATTGGAAAATTTGGATTTCAAAATTTCACCAAAAAGAGGCTTTATCAGCATTTTTGTACAGAAAAACCGAGTTTTTGACTGAAAATCGGACCGTTCTTAACCTAAAAATCGTTTTTTTAGAAAATTTCAGATTTCTCAGAGAAAATGGGTTGAAAAACAGCAAATTTTGGCTTAAAAATTCAAAATTTTGCCCATTTTAAACCTAAAAATTGGGGGAATGCGACTTTTTGGTTCTAAAAATCCCTTTTTCTCTATTTTCTGGATCAAAATTTCGAATTTTTGGTTGAAAATTGGACCATTTTGAACATAAAAATCTGAATTTTGGGGTTTTTTTTAACCTAAAAAATCGGAAAAATCCACGTTTTCCCACATTTCTGCCAATTTTCCGCCTATTTCTCACATTCTGACTCAAAAAAAGGTGTCTAGCGGGGTGGGAAAGAGAACGAATGAATGAATGGATTGTGATGCTTCAATGCAAATAGAACACCGAGAGAGTGTTAAAAATTGAGAGACGCAGAGAAACAGAGTGCAATGGGAAGAAGGGGAGAAAAGGGCGTTTTTTTCCATTCATTTTTATTAGAGGAGACTATTAATTTAGGAGAGAAAAATGGAGAATTTTATGATTTTATGATCATTTGCAGATGGAAAAGAGCGCATTTTTAGAGCAGAAAAGAGCACAAAAATCTGGGGGAAAATTGGAAAATTTTGTGGCCAAAATCAGCAAAAAATGAGCAGAAACTAGCAAATTTTGGGTTGTTTAGAGTCAAAAAATCATAAAAAATCGGCTTAAAAAGGTAAAAATTAGCTGAAAATGTCGATTTTTTTTTGGCTAAAACTTAGCTGAAAATGTAGATTTTTGGGCTAAAAATTGGCTGAAACCTTTGATTTTTTAGCTGAAAATTAGCTGAAAATGTCGATTTTTTAACTAAAACTTGGCTGAAAATTTCGATTTTTTGTGTAAAAAATTAGCTAAAAATGACGATTTTTTTGGCTAAAACGTGGCTGAAAATTTCGATTTTTTAGCTGAAACTTAGCTGAAAATGTCGATTTTTTCGGGCTAAAAATTAGCTGAAAATGTCGATTTTTTAACTAAAACTTGGCTGAAAATTTCGATTTTTTGGCTCAAAATGGCTCAATTTCAACGATTTTTTGCCTAAAATGACTCTAAAAAGCCCAAAATTCTTATGGTTTTTGAAGGAAAAATCAAGAAATTTTTTTCAAAAATTCTAAAAATTATCGAGAATTTCCCAGCTTTTTTGGATCATTTTTAGGGGTAAAAAAAATCTGAAAATCGCATTTTTAAATTGAAAAAAATCGTATTAGTAGTTTTTGATAGGAAAACTTTGAATTTTTCCGATTTTTTGGGAATTTTCCAAAAATAGGCAAAAAAACTATTTTTATGACATCAAATATTTCCCTATTTGTTGACTGGTTTTCCATTTTTATCACTTATCATTCAAATGATTCATCTATTTGCCTTTTCTAGTTCATTTTTCAAAAAATTTTTGAAAAAAAAAATTTTCTGACTGAAAATTTTCTTTTTTGATGGTTTTTGATAAGAAATTCATTGGAAAAAGGCAAAAAATTTAATATTAAGACAAAAAAAATTTTTTGCTCAAAATTGAAATTTTTCGACTGATAAAACTTGTGGCATCACATCGTCATGCCACTCGTCGTCTTATCAGTTGACAACGACCGCCCGGAGGCTCTTTACAACTTTAGAAAAAGGGAAAAAATGACAGAAAAAATGACAGATGTTCGGGACAGCTGAAAAAACACACTTTGTCGCCGCGAAACCCTTGTTTAGACCGATTTTTTCGGTTTTTTTACAGCTTTTCATGCAAAAAATCACGAAAAATCAATAAAAATCAGAGGAGAAGCCCGAAAAATCAGCGCCCGATAATCGGTGAAAATTGATAGTGTCGGCAGGCGACGAGAGAGTACACGAAACGAGGAGAGGCGAGAGAACGCGTCGTGAGATATGACGCATGGGGTGTGAACACCACCACGACATATTGCACACACTGGGTGATTGGAAAGTTTTCAATCGCAGAATTCGATAAATTTTCAGATTTTCATGACTTTTAGAGTTTTTCTTAGAGTTTTTATGGAAAAATATACAATTTTAATGTTCTCAGTTCAGTTTTGATGCAGAAAGTCCGCCAAAGTCGTTCAAAAATCGCTAAAAAACAGGGATAAAAATTAGGGGGAAAAATAATTAAAATTAGGAATTTTAGATATGAGTCATGTGATTTCGAAGCAAGTTTTCATGATTTTCTCAGTCCTAAATTTGTATATTTTTACCAATTTTCGTTGTATTTTTCCGATTTTTAAGAAAAAAATTTTAGGAGGAAAAATATAAAAAATTCAGATTTTGAACGGATTTTTCGCTATTTTCTCCTGGTTTTTTGCACACTTTTCACTCAAAAACGCAATTTCTTTTCTTCCAGAACTTGCGATGGTCCACGGACACAGTCACGACGGAGCTCCGTGCTCTGGACACCATGGAGAGGAGGGTGGTTCGCGTCCGGCGCCAACTCATGTGGACATGCAAGCGGTAATTTGATTTTTCGATGTTTTCGAACCAAAAATTCCAAATTTTATCGAAAAAATTGCAAAATTTCCAATTTTCAGGTCATGGAGCAGCTCCGCGCCGCCGGTGTCGACGTCTCAAGCTTGCCGAATATTCCAACGGCGCCGCGCGACGTCGAAGAGGCTCGTAACAAGAGTTTCCAGTTCTGGAGCACTCAACCAGTGCCACAAATGGGTAATTTTGGGATTTCGAGGGTCCAGAGCGCCTTTTTGTGATTTCCAAGGCAAAAATCACGATTTTAAGCTCTAAATTGGGATTTTCAGACTATTTTAGACCCGAAAAACTCGCTGGAAACGAGTTTTTTTCAGACAAAAATAGTTTTTGAGTTAATTTTTTTGAAGTTTTGGGTCATTTTTTGCTGAAATTAGTTGGATTTTGGGTCATTTTCGGCTTTTTAGTACTCCAAGAGTCGTTTTTCGACCATTTGTAACCCCAGAAAAACGCTTTTTGATCTAAAATTGACATTGCCGATCCAGGGGCTTTTAGAGTCGTTTTGAGTTGAAAATCAGCATTAAGATGACATTCGGAGCTCAAAAAGTTGGTTTAAAATTGAATTTAGTGTCATTTTTAGCTGTTTTTTTCAACCCAAATCCTAGATTTGACGACTTGAAAGCGATTTTGACCGATGTTGAGCTTTTTCTGGTCCAATATAACGATTTTTGAAGCCAAAAACGATAGTTTTGTATTTTTAGCCGGAATTCTCCAATATAGTGTTATTTTGTGTCATTTTAACTTTATTTTTATCAATTTTGTGGTCAGATTGACTTTTGCCAGTTTTAGGGTCATTTTAACTGGAAAATGAGTGTTTTTGGGTCATTTTAGTACTATTTTCATAATTTTTAGCTCAAAAAACATGAAAATAGTACTAAAATGGTCAGACTAAAACTTTTAATTGAAACTAAAAATGGCCCAAAAATGATGCTAAAACTCGAAAAAAGAGACACAAAAAATGAGCCATATTAGCCAAAAGAGTCGATTTGAACACGAAACTGACGAAAATAGTGCTAAAGTGGCCTCAAAAGCTCAAAAAACCACTCAATTTGAGCTAAAAATGACCCCAATATCTCGAAAAAACGCTTTATTTGCACCAAAAACGGCTCATAATAACCAAAAGTCGATGATTTGTACAAAGAACTGACGAAATTAGGCTAGAATGACACTAAAATCCGAGAAAAATGCTCATTTTTGACTAAGAAATGACCCAGAACTGAAAATAGTGCTGAAATTTAACATGACCTCAAAAACATAATTTCGACTGAAAATTCTCGATTTTCATGATTTTCATGCTGAAATTTTCGAATTTTTGCAGACGAACTCGTGCCAGCCGATGTGAACTGCGCCATCGAGGAGAACATTCCATTGGATAAGGTTCGCGCCGAGCCATTCACCCTGCCAACTGGTTTCCGTTGGGCCAACGTCGATTTGAATGATAAGGAGCAGTTGGATGAGCTCTACAATCTCCTGACCAAGAACTACGTTGAAGACGACGACTCGATGTTCCGTTTCGATTATTCGGCGGAATTCCTGAAGTGGGCTCTTCAAGTACCCGGATATCGTCCAGAATGGCACTGTGGAGTACGTGCCGATGGATCGAATCGTCTTCTCGCGTTCATTGGAGCCGTCCCACAGACTGTTCGGGTCTATGATAAGACCGTTCCGATGGTGGAGATCAATTTCCTGTGTGTCCATAAGAATCTTCGTTCGAGACGCGTCGCACCGGTTCTTATCCGAGAAATCACTCGTCGTGTCAATATCACTGGTAGGTTTTCGTCCAGAAAATTGGAACTTTTTGGCTCATTTTAGGTCATTTTAACGTTGTGGCCTAGAATACTCAACTTGCGAAAGTTAGGCCACCATACTGAAATAGCCTAGAAAACACAATATCTGACCATTTCTAGACCAAAAAAATTCATGAAAAATCACTTTTTAGGTCAGGAAATTTTCGAACCCAAATTCAGACAAAAAAATCCCCAAATTTTTCGACAGAATACCGAGAAACGCTCATCAAATTCGAAATCAGCCTGAAAAATGGGTCTAGACAGACTTTTCTAGAACTTTCTATCTCTATTTCAAGGTTTTTTGGTTACTGTAGCGCCAAATGTACGCAAACACCAGATCTTACGACACGTTGAGCTAGAACGCTGAAAGATGGATTTTGGACTATTTGGGATGCTGAATTCGAATCTGATAACGAAACTTACCGAAAAGTGGTTTTTTGCATGGTGGCCTAGTTTTTTCCAGTTCAAATTTCTAGGCCACCAACTTTTATGCCCTAGAAATGATAGGATATTCACCTGGTGTGTTTTTCAGTTCATTTAAGCATGGTGGCCTAACTTTTGCAAATTGAATTTTCTAGGCCACCATGGAAATTGGCCTAGGAAAAGAAAACTAAATGTTTAAGCTAAAGTTTGTTATTATATTCGAATTCAGCGTCCCAAAATTACCGGAAAATCCATTTTCAGCGTTTTCGCTCAAGATGTCGTAAGATCTGGTGTTTGCGTACTTCTGGGGCTACAGTGACCCAAAAAATCGTGAAATTGAGCTAGAAGGTTCTAGAAACATCTAGACCCATTTCTCGCGCTGATTTCGAATTTGATAAGCGTTTTTTGGTAATTTCTCGGTATTCCGTCAAAAAATTTGCGGATTTTTTTTTGTCTGAATTTGGATTTCAAAATTTCCTGATCTAAAAAGTGATTTTTCAGGAATCTTTTTGGCCTAGAAATGGTCAGATATTACGTTTTCTAGGCCATTTCAATATGGTGGCCTAACTTTTGCAAGTTGAGTTTTCTAGGCCACGACGTTAAAATGACCTAAAATGAGCCAAAAATTCAAATTTTCTGATAATTGACTAGTTTCAAAAGAATGATTTTTTCAGGAATCTTCCAAGCCGCGTTCACCGCTGGAATCGTCATCCCCAAGCCCGTCTCCGTGTGCCGTTACTATCACCGCTCTCTCAACCCAAGAAAGCTGATCGATGTCCGTTTCTCGCATCTGTCCGCCAAAATGACAATGGCCCGTACCATCAAACTGTACAAATTGCCAGATGAGCCGGCTACTCGAACGCTCCGTGAAATGAAAGAATCCGATGTTGGACAGGTGTTCAAGCTGCTCACCACCAGTCTGAAACAGTACTCGTTGGCACCGGTCTACAAGGATGAGGAGGAGATGGCGCACGCGTTGTTGCCGCGGAAGAATGTTGTGTATTCGTATGTTGCTCAGGTAAGAATTAAGGATGAGCAATGAGCACCGAAGAGGGTCAAAATTGAGTTGAGAGCTTCAAAATGAGTCTAAATACGATTTTTAACTAGGCTCCGCCCCATTCGTTTAAAGTGGGCGGAGCTTAGGCTCATTTTGACCATCAAAATTTGCTCAAAAATTTCAATATTGAGAAAACTACAGTAATCTTTGAAAATGAAAAAAAAAACAAAGTTTAGGGAAAGTTCTGTAATTTTCAGTCAGTTTTAGCGCTGTTGTTTTCGATTTTTTCAGAATTTCAATCAAATTTAAGAATGAGCAATGAGTGCACCTAGCTCGAAAATGGTCGAAATTGAGCTTGAATTCTAGGGAAAAAAATGGCCAAATTTGACTGAAAATCTTAGTTCACCCACATTTCTGTCAGTTATGGTTCAATTTGAAAAATTCGAAAAGCGTCAAATTCGGCTTGAAATGTGCTTCAAAATGAGTATAAACATGACTATATTAGGCTCCGCCCTTTTTCGGAAAAGTGGGCGTAGTCTAGGCTCATTTTGAAGCTAAAATGATAAGAAATTTGATAAAATTGGTTTCAAACAGTTAAAAATTTTGAACAGAAAAGCTCAAAATGAGCTCAAAATGGCTTATTTTCAACCGCAAAATTCAAATATGCTCTCGAATTGAGCCCTAAAGTAAATCGAACGTCATTTTTGGATTTCGAGAGAACTACAGTAATCCTCGAAATTCTTAAAATAAATTTTAAAAATTTCTGTGGTTTTCAGCCATTTTTAACTTTCGAAATTAGCCCAAAATAAGTAGGACACTGAGAAAACTACAGTAATCCTTGAAAAAATCAGAAAAATAGATAGTGAAAATTCAGTCATTTTCAGCAGTTTTTTCTTAGATTTTTCCTTTTTTTTTCAAGCTTTCAAAGTCAATTCTTTCAGAATCTCAATGGAAAAATCACTGATCTCGTGTCCTTCTACTCGCTTCCATCCTCCGTTATGGGTAATGCCAATCACAAGACCATCTTCGCCGCCTATCTCTACTACTACGTCGCTGGATCTGTCTCCGTGAAGCAGCTGATCAACGACGCGTTGATTCTGGCCAACAAGGAGAAGTTTGACGTCTTCAACGCGCTCGATTTGATGCACAACGAGAAGATTTTCTCGGATTTGAAGTTTGGAAAGGGAGACGGAAATCTACAGTACTACCTGTACAATTGGAAGTGCGCCGACATGAAACCCAGCCAGATTGGACTTGTTCTTCAATAAATTGCTCTTTGTTTTGTCTGAAATTGCTGAAAATCCCTCTGAAAATCGCCCCCAAAAAATCTCTACTTTTCCCCTTAATTTTGTCTGAAAATCGCTGAAAATCTGTTTAAAAATGATGGAAATATATCTGAAAATTCGTTAAAATGCTCAAAAATCGATTTATATTGAATTTTCATTGGAAATTTGTCTGAAAATTCTGAAAAAAATGCAAATTTTCCAGGTTTTTCAACTTTTTTTGGGAGATTTTTCGTGATTTTTCTCTCGAAAGTTGCTTCAAAAAACCCTTCTTTTTTAGATTTTCCCCCAATTTTTCCCTTTTTTTCCTCTTCGAAAAAACGCGCTCCATTGAGAATTTTTTCGAATTTTTGAATATTTTCTCCACGGAGCGCATTTCCCACTTATTCTTTTTCAGTTTCCTTAAGTAGATTTCCCCCTTTTTTTTTAGTGCAAGCGCGCCCTATTGAGAATTTTTTCTAAATGTTCTCATTAGAGCGCATTTGCTTCTTTTTTTTTGCTCCCACCACCCTTCCCCATAGAAATCAAGCAAACGCGCTCCATTGAGAAATAGTCAGTTTTTCGAAAATTTGAAATTTTCTCTGTAGAGCGCGTTTGTTTTCTGTTTTTCCCCCAAATTTTTATATTTATTGAACACTTGGTTTCTTCTTTTTTTTTTATTTGTCTCTTTTCGTTTGATGACCCCATGTGTATTATTTAAGAAGTAATTTTTTTTAATTTTTAATAATTTTTTTTAATTTAATTTAACGAATAAAGCATCTCTGTGTTGATTTTTGAATTATTTGACATTTTTTAGATTTTTAGAAGACTTCAGATGGGAAAAATCATCATTTTTCATCAGATTTTGTTTCATTTTTTGAAATTTTTATGCTGAAAATTTCAGAAAAGCATTCTTTTCAATTTTTTTAATTTTTTGAAAATACAATGAAATTTCATTTTCTCCCTCTCTCCTCACCCTCTCTCTCTCGCCTCGCTCCCCGCCTCCCCCTCCTTCTTGTACGCCCTCCGCCTCCTCTCCTCACCGTGCAGTCATGTCCGAGTGGTTAAGGAGATTGACTAGAAATCAATTGGGCTCTGCCCGCGTAGGTTCGAATCCTGCTGACTGCGTTAAGTTTTTTTAGTTTTTTGTAGCCTGCTTGAATCGAGTTGTGGGTGTTTTGATGATTATTTTTGGTGTTTTTTGGGATTGTTAACCTAAAATTTTGCGAAAAGTTCAAGAAACTTGGAACTTAGAAATTACTGTGAAAATTCGAAATTTCTAAAAACTAATAGACAGAAGTTCATTTGAAAAATCAGAGCTTCTGAAAAATCAGAGCTTCAAGAAGTCTGAAATTTCAAAAAAATCTAAATGTATCAATATGCGATTTTTTTTTCAGTTTGTTCTTAAACCCAAAAAATTTTGAAAATCCCAAATTACCGTATTTGCACTAACACCACCAACTTTAAGCCGGTCGACTTTGAGCTCAATTATCTCGGTTACTGTAAGAGATATCAAAATTTTGTCAACTGATAAAATATTGCTCATTTTATTACAGACATTTTATCAGTTGACAACTTTTTGCTATCTTTTATAGGAATCGAGATAAATTGGCATAAAGTTGACGGTTTGACTGGGGGCTTCTGTTAGAAGAAATCGTTCACAATTTTCAAATTTTTCAAAAATTACGAAAACTCTAACTATCTTTATGTACTCTAAACCATCATAAGCATTGAGAAATTGCAAAAAAAAATGGGTGTTGGCTTTCATTTTTTGATTTTTTTTTTAAATAGAAAATTCTTCCACAATGAATCATATCAACCTCTTATCATTTCAATTCTTTCACTTTTTTTCTAAAAATTAAGAATTTCTTCTTCTCTTTCTCTCTCTCTCTCTCTCTCTCTCTCTCTCTCTCTCTCTCTCTCTCTCTCTCTCTCTCTCTCCCCCGCTCTCTCTCACTAAAAAGAAGAGAAAGAAGATAGAGACGAGAGAGTGTCAGATCGAAAGAGACGCAGACACAACAAGTGTACAACACGGAGGGTAGTATTATGTTTGCCAGACCGACAATGCATCGATTTTCTCAAGAAAGTTTTTCTGTCTTAACGTTTTTTTTCCTTTTTTGTAGTTTGTAGTTTTATCCTCGAAAGTCACATTTTTGTATTATTTCAGTGTACTGTAATTATAGCATTTTTTGTGCAGAGCTCTTTTTTTTAAGTCAATTTTTGTAGATAAAACTTTAATTGAAGTTTCGAAATTCCTGGATTTTTTGAAAATCCTTGAAATTTCGAAACTTTTGACTTCCAAAGAAATCCGAAAATCCGAATTGTTCAAATCTTTAGAATTTTATAGAATTCAAAAGAAACATTCGAAAACTGTGTATTTCAGATTTTTAGAACTTCAGAAACTCAGAAATTTTGATACTATAAGAATTCTGAAATTCAGAAAATATTAAAATCCTAAAATCCAAAAATTCTAAAATTCTAAAATCCTAAAATCCAAAAATTCTAAAATCCAAAAATTCTAAAATTCTAAAATTCTACAATTCTAAAATTCTAAAATTCTAAAATTCTAAAATTCTAAAATTCTAAAATTCTAAAATTCTAAAATTCTAAAATTCTAAAATTCTAAAATCCAAAAATTCTAAAATTCTAAAATCCTAAAATCCAAAAATTCTAAAATTCTAAAATTCTAAAATTCTAAAATTCTAAAATTCTAAAATTCTAAAATTCTAAAATTCTAAAATTCTAAAATTCTAAAATTCTAAAATTCTAAAATTCTAAAATTCTAAAATTCTAAAATTTTAAAATTCTAAAATTCTAAAATTCTAAAATTCTAAAATTCTAAAATTCTAAAATTCTAAAATTCTAAAATTCTAAAATTCCAAGATCCTAAAATTCTAAAATTCTAAAATTCTAAAATTCTAAAATTCTAAAATTCTAAAATTTTAAAATTCTAAAATTCTAAAATTCTAAAATTCTGAAATTCTAAAATTCTAAAATTCTAAAATTCTAAAATTCTAAAATTCTAAAATTCTAAAATTCCAAGATCCTAAAATCAAGAAATTCTAAAATTCTAAAGTTTCGGAAAAAGAATTTTCAGATTTTCAGAAACAATTTCAGACAAAATTCGAATATTTCAAACGAAAAATAAGAATTTTCGAAATGTTTTTTTTTCAATTTTCAATCTAATTATCTCCTTTTGGCTCTTTTTTTTGCAAAAATTGGCTCAAAATCTCCAACTTTGCCTAAAATTTTTCAGGTAAATTTCACCTAAAAATCACAAAATCAAAAATGGGCGGATTTTCAATATTCTCTCGAAATTCGAAGCCAATTTATGCGAAAGTTAGTACGATGGATGCGGATTTGGAGAAGATTGTAATAGAGAAAACATGGACAGGAAGACATTTATTTGAAGCGGTTTGTCGAATTATCGGACTCCGGGAAACATGGTATTTTGGACTACAGTATACCAATAAGAAAAATATTCCATGTTGGCTGCAGAATGATAAAACGGTGAGTGTTTTTTTTTTTGGTTGAAAAAGGGGATTTTTAAACTTTGAAATAATAAAAAGGACATTTTGCGAGAAATTGAAAATTCCAACAAAATTTTTTTTTTTGAATTCTGAAACATGTTAAATTCCAAAATTTCTAAATTCAGATAAAATTTTTAGAATTCCAGAATTTTAGAATTCCAGAATTTTAGAATTTTAGAATTTCTGAATTTCTGAATTTCTGAATTTCTGAATTTCTGAATTTCTGAATTTCTGAATTTCGGAATTTCTGAATTTCTGAATTTCTGAATTTCTGAATTTCTGAATTTCTGAATTTCTGAATTTCTGAATTTCGGAATTTCTGAATTTCTGAATTTCTGAATTTCTGAATTTCTGAATTTCTGAATTTCTGAATTTCTGAATTTCTGAATTTCTGAATTTCTGAATTTCTGAATTTCTGAATTTCTGAATTTCTGAATTTCTGAATTTCTGAATTTCTGAATTTCTGAATTTCTGAATTTAGAATTCCAGAATATTAGAATTCCAGAATATTAGAATTTTAGAATTTCTGAATTTCTGAATTTCTGAATTTCTGAATTTCTGAATTTCTGAATTTCTGAATTTCTGAATTTCTGAATATTAGAATTCCAGAATATTAGAATTTTAGAATTTCTGAATTTCTGAATTTCTGAATTTCTGAATTTCTGAATTTCTGAATTTCTGAATTTCTGAATTTCTGAATTTCTGAATTTCTGAATTTCTGAATTTCTGAATTTCTGAATTTCTGAATTTCTGAATTTCTGAATTTCTGAATTTCTGAATTTCTGAATTTCTGAATTTCTGAATTTCTGAATTTCTGAATTTCTGCATTTCTGAATTTCGGAATTTCTGAATTTCTGAATTTCTGAATTTCTCAAATTTTGAATTTCTGAATTTCTGAATTTCTGAATTTTTGAATTTCTCAAATTTTGAATTTCTGAATTTCTGAATTTTAGAATTTCTGAATTTCTGAATTTCTGAATTTTGATAATTTTAGAATTTTGAGAATTTTCACATTTTCAAATTTTTTCAAATTTCCGAATTTCAGATATGTGGCCAAGACGTTCAAAAAGACCCCTCCGATGCGAGTTTTCATTTTCTATTCCTCGTGAAATTCTATCCAGAAGACGTCGAGCCAGAGATAATTCTCGACGTCACTCGACATTTATTTTTTCTTCAAATTCGAGAAGCCATCCTCTCAATGAACCTGTATTGTTCTCCAGAAGCCTCCGTCCTCTTAGCCAGTTTTGCAGTTCAAGCAATGGTACGGTAGTCTTAATTTTCATTAAAAAACTACAGTAATCCAATTCAGCACGGCGATTGCACAGAAGAAGTTGGACCCATAGATCTGGACAAACATTTACCAAAAAGTGTCATCGATCAATATGATATGAGTGCAGATATGTGGAGAGATCGAATCAAACGATGGTGGTCTCGAAACGCCGGACAATCGAGGGAGGAGGCGGAGCTCGAGTATTTAAGGGTTGCACAGGATTTGGAAATGTATGGAATCCTTTACTATCCCATTTGTGTAAGTTTTCATTGCTTTTACTGAGTCTAGAAGGCTTTGAGCTTCAAAATGAGCCCCATATTGACCTACTTTGCGCAATTTTGTGCTTTGATCTACCAACCGCGCCACGCGACCGCGACGCACCCAAAAAATTGGAATCATCGAAACCTAGGCATGCTCATATTCATTTTGAAGCTCTCAAAAAGGAAAATTCAAATCTAGAGAAAATTTGCGATTTGGAGTGAAATCTGAAAAGTTAGAGCGCTTTCAAATTTTCAGCAGAAAGTTTGAAGGAACTAAAATGATAAAATTGCACTTACGAAGTAATTAAAATTAAAATTACCATATTTTGAAGCGCGAGAGCTTCAAAATGAGCTCCATTTTTGCTACTTTTGGCTCATTTTGTTTTCACCCACCAACCGCGCCGCACGACCGCGATGCGACCAAAACGTTGAAATTGAACAAAACTGGGCATGATTATACTTATTTTGAAGCTCGTAACATACTAATTCACAATATATGCGTTTCATGTAAGCCCGATAAACATTCGCTGAAATAGGAAGCCTTGAATTTTTTGAAAAACGTTTTTTGAGACTGCTCTAATAAACAAACTAAACTCCCAAAACGGTTATAGATGAAAATTTTGAGTTTCCGACTTCACGAGCTTCAAAATGAGCCCCATATTGACCTACTTTGCTCACTTTTGAGTTTCGACATACCAACCGCGACGCACGACCGCGACGCACCCGAAAAAACGGAAAATGAGCGAACATGGGCTTGATTATACTCATTTTGAAGCTCCAAACTAGCCAAATTCAAATATCTAAATATAAAATCTTTCAGAACAACAAAGAAACGGATCTTCATCTTGGAATATCCGCTCAAGGATTGGGAATCTATAAGGGTGTGAATCGGATAACACCTCGCCCGTTTTTCAGTTGGAGTGAAATTAAAAATATTCAGTTTAAGAGTCGAAAAGTGAGTTTTTAAACTATAATTTTTGAAAAATCGATTTTTCAGTTCCATATGAAGACCGTCGACAAGTCGACAATATCGTTTCGATCGCGAGAAACATCAATCGATTCATCGATTTTGGATTTATGTATAGGAACACACAATTTGTATTTGAGAAGGAGGCAACCAGATACATTAGAGGTTAGAATTTTCGAATTCAGCGTTTTGAGAGCTTCAAAATGAGTATAATCATGCCTGAGCTCGTATAAGTTTCGCTTTTTGGATGCGTCGCGGTCGCGCGGCGCGGTTGGTAGATCGAAATCCGAAATTGAGCAAATTGGGTCAATATGGGGCTCATTCCAAAGCTCTCCGGCTTGAAAATTTGAAAATCAAAGTTGGCGTCCTGTTAAAGCAGTTTTTCTGTAACAAGGGTCTTAAAAAAGAAGCTAAAAACTTAAAACCCCTGTAACTTCTGTCATTCTTGTTCAAATTAAAAACAACAATTCGATTCGTAATTTCCTTGTCGAGAGCTTCAAAATAAGTATAATCATGCCTAGGTTTGCTCTATTTAAGTTTTTTGGGCGCGTCGCGGTTGTGCGTTGCGGCTAAGTAGGTCAAAACTCAAAATGCGTCTAACTAGGACAAAATGGGGCTCATTTTGAAACTCTAAATCTAACGAATTTGAATTTTAAACTTTCAGGTGCAACAAATGAGGTCTCAAGCCAAAGAGGACAAACAAAGGAGGTCCGTAGAGCAGGCGAAGATTGCTCTAGAGCGAAAAGAACGGCAACAAATGGAGAAAGAGTGCAAGGAACTGAAACAACAGGTTGAACTGATGACAATGGAATTGATGAAAGCACAGGAGAGTGTTCGGAAAGCAGAAGAGGCAAATGATCAATTGGCGGAGAAAGCGAGACATTCGGAACATGAAACATTGATGTTGTACAAACAGAAAAGTGAAGTGGAGGCGGAATGTAATCGATTGAGTATGAATAATATGAAGGTGAGAGTTCGGGAGAGTGGTATATTTGAATTTGACTCGGTGAGAGCTTCAAAATGAGTATAATCATGCCTAGCTTTGCTCAATTTTGCATTTTTCATCGCGTCGCGATCGTTCGGTGCGGTTGGTGGGTCAAAAAATGAGCCAAAAGTAGCGAATATAGGGTTCATTCTGAAGCCCTCGTGCTCCAGGATATGGTAATTCTAATTTCAATTGCTTCGTACGTGCAATTTTATCATTTTAGTTCCTTCAATTTTTCTGCTGAAAATTTGAGAGTGCTCTAACTTTTCAGGTTTTTCTTCAAATTACAAAATTTTTTAAGATTTGAATTTTTCCTGATGAGAGCTTTAAAATAAGTATAATCATGCCCAGGTTTGCTCGATTTCAGTTTTTCGGGTGCGTCGCGGTCGCGCGGCGCGGTTGGTAGATCAAAATTCGAAATAGATCAAATTGGGTCAATATGGGGCTCATTTCAAAGCTCGCAGTTTCAAATTCTCGAAATTTCTTGTTTCGAACGTCTGAATCGAAAAATATCGCCGGTTTGGGACAACCGAAATTTTGGGTGAAAAATTCAAATGCTAATAACTTTTCTAGACTTTTCGCAAACTAATTTTTGGCGTTGAAATTGGATTTCGTTTGTTGTAAGCTTCGAAATGAGTATAATCAAGCCCATGCTCGCTCATTTTCAGTTTTTTCGGGTGCGACGCGGTCGTGCGGCGCGGTCGGTAGGTCAAAACTCAAAAATGAGCAAAATAGGCGAATATGGGGCTCATTTGAAAGCTCTCAGCTTCAAAATCTCAAACACGTTTATTTCAAACGTCTCAATCTAATAATATTTTGACTAAAAGACTTTCAAAATTTTGGGTGATAAATTTTATAGCTTATAACTTTTCTAGACTTCTCTCAAGTTCATTTTAGATATTAAAACTGATTTTCATTTGTTGTTAGCTGCAAAATAAGTATAATCATGGCCAGGTTTGCTCAGTTTCAACTTTTTGGGTGCGTCGCGGTCGTGCGGCGCGGTTGGTAGGTCAAAACTCGGAATAGAGCAAAGTGGGTCAATATGGGGCTCATGATGAAGCTCTCGATGTCAGAAATTCAAAAATCTTAGTCTCAAGCGCAAATTTTCATTATTTCAGTCAGAAGAAGCACTTCTCCGAATGGAACGAAAAGCGCGAGAAGCGGAAATCCTGGCGAAACAAATGTCAATGTCGCTGGCTGATGTCAGTTTGGATGCGAATCGAAAAATGACACAATACTCGAGTCAAACGGCTTTGGTTATTGATCCAGTGAGTTTTTAAAGAAAAAATTGGGATTTTAAATTTTTTGAATTCTAGAATTGGCACCAACAACACCAAGGGCACCCTGGAATGCCAAGCACTGGATCCTATCATCAATTGCAATCACTGGAACGTGAGGATTACAAACTTTCAGAATTTTTTTGGAAATTTTGAAATTCCAGATTCCCATCCATCGTCCCAACAGATGATGTCACGAAGTCTAAACATGCCATCCACATTCTCCTCCCCAATTCCATCGAATCCACCTCCAAATCTTCAGAATACACCACTTCAGAATTCTCAGAATTCTCAAAATATTCAGAATTCGCAGAATCCGAAAGCTCCGCCCACTTATGGCTCGGGGCTCATCTTTCCGCCGCCAGATCCATCGATTAATCAGATTTTTGAACAACAAACGATTTTGATGGAATTGGAAAAATCCAGGTGGACTTGAAAATAGAAAAATTGAATTTCCGACATAGAGAGCTTCAAAATGAGTATAATCATGCCTAGATTTGATTGAGTTTGAATTTTTGGGTGCGTCGCGGTCGTGCGGGGCGGTCAGTAGGTCAAAATTGGGAATAGAGCAAAGTAGGTCAATATGGGGCTCATTTCAAAGGTCTCCACCTCAGGAAATCAAATAATTTAGTTTAAAGTGCTTTGTGAATGCAACGTTGCTAGTATAGGTGCTCCAATGTATTCGCTACAAATTTGAAAGCGCTGTAACTTTTCTAAGCTTTTGTCAAACTCATTTTTAATGCTAAAATCAGATTTCCCTAGTTGTGAGCTTCAAAACGAGTATAATCAAGTCTAGGTTTGCTCAATTTTTGAGTTTTCACCTACCAACCGCGCCGCACAACCGCGACGCATCCAAAAATTAGAATCAATCGAACCCAGGCATGATTATACTCATTTTGAAGCTAACAACGAACGATTTTTGATTCTAATATCAAATCTTCGTTTGACAAAAGTCTAGAAAAGTTACAAGCTTTTCAATTTTTCACTAAAACTTTTGATAGTCCTATAAAAGTTATATCGTCTTATTTCCACGTTTGCAATACAAAAATTTGAATTTCTGACATTGAGAGCTTAAAAAAAACCTCATATTGACCTATTTTGCCCAATTTGAGTTTTGACCTACCAACCGCGCCGCACGACCGCGACGCACCCAAAAAGTTGAAACTGAGCAAACCTAGGCATGATTAAACTCATTTTGAAGCTAACAACAAATGAAAATCAGTTTTAATATCTAAAATGAACTTGAGAGAAGTCTAGAAAAGTTATAAGCTATAAAATTTATCACCCAAAATTTTGAAAGTCTTTTAGTCAAAATATTATTAGATTGAGACGTTTGAAATAAACGTGTTTGAGATTTTGAAGCTGAGAGCTTTCAAATGAGCCCCATATTCGCCTATTTTGCTCATTTTTGAGTTTTGACTTACCGACCGCGCCGCACGACCGCGACGCACTCAAAACTGGAAATTGAAGTAAACCTGGGCATGATTATACTCATTTTGAAGCTAGCAACAAGCGAAACCCGAATTTAACTTTAAAAATGAGTTTGGCAAAAGTCTAGAAAAGTTACAACTCAAAAACTTTAAAAAAATTGTTACAGAAACGAATACGAAAAACGAGCAAGAATATTCAAAGAGCATTTAGAGGAGCTACGCGGTGATATTGACGGATTGAAGAGAGATGAAAATATGACAGTTGGGGGACAGAATGGGACACAAAATGGGACACAAACAATTCAACAACATCGAGAACACGATGCGATTCATGCTCAAAATGTTGCTCAGGGTTTTGATAAATTTACGACGATGCGAATGGTAAGACAGGGTTACTGTAGGTTTTTTGGGATTGCTGTGACCGGGAAATATGATTACTGTACCTTTTTCAAAAGATTACTGTAACTAAAAATTGGATTTCTGTAGTTGTGGCCGCTATAATCATAATGGTACTCTACCTTGGAATTGGATTACTGTAGCTTTTATAAGGGTTACTGTCGATTTTTTGAATGATTACTGTAGATTTTTTTTGGGATTACTGCAGACGTTTAGGGTTACTGTAGTTAAAAGCACTACACTATTACTGTACCTTGAAACAGGTTACTCAAGATTTTTAGGATTACTGTACTTCAAAATATTACTGTAGTTGTGACCGCTATAACGGTGATGGTACTCCACTAAGAAATAGGATTACTGTAGCTTTTTCAGAGGATTACTATAGATTTTGAAGGAGCACTGTAGTTGAAGAAGCTACTGTAATTTGGGAATTGGATTGCTGTAGCTTTTTGACATTACTGTAGTTTTGAAAGCTGTAGGATTACTGTAGAATTTTTTTGGGAATTTTATGTTTTTTCCAATATTTCAAAAGTTTGCAAATTGAAATTTTCCGAACTTTTTGAAAATCGAAAACAAGACATTCTAGATTTTCTAGGGTTACTGTAGGATTACTGTAGTTTGGAAAAATCGGACTTTTTTTTCAAAAAAAAAGAAATCAAACTCAATATTTGCGCTGCTGATAACTTTGTTCTTTTTAATCTGTCAGTTGATTTTGCTGACAATCAACTTCCGAAAAAAAAATTTCAATGATGTCAGTTATCAGTTTTTCAATTTTTCCGAAATTACGCTGATGTAATTTTCCCATTTTCCGAACTTCTGCATTTTGGAATCTCCTGGAATTTTTGAATTTTTAGAATTTCTCAATTTCTGAATTTCTGAATTCCTGAATTTCTGAATTTCTTGGAATTTTCGAATTTCTGAATTTCTGAATTTCTGAATTTCTGTTTTTTTGGTTGAAAAAGGGGATTTTTAAACTTTGAAATAATAAAAAGGACATTTTGCAAAAAATTGAAAATTCCAACAAAAATTTTTTTTTTGGAATTCTGAAACTCTTAAATTCCAAAATTTCTAAATTCAGATAAAATTTTTAGAATTCCAAAATTTTCGAATTTTTAGAATTTCTGAATTTCTGAATTTTCGAATTTCTAGAATTTCTCAATTTCTGTATTTCTGAATTTCTGAATTTTTGAATATTTGAATTTCTGAATTTCTGAATTTCTGAATTTCTGAATTTCTGAATTTCTGAATTTCTGAATTTCTGAATTTCTGAATTTCTGAATTTCTGAATTTCTGAATTTCTCAAATTTTGAATTTCTGAATTTCTGAATTTCTGAATTTTTGAATTTCTGAATTTCTGAATTTCTGAATTTCTGAATTTCTGAATTTCTGAATTTCTGAATTTCTTGGATTTTTCGAATTTCTAGAATTTCTCAATTTCTGAATTTCTCAAATTTTGAATTTCTGAATTTCTGAATTTCTGAATTTTTGAATTTCTGAATTTCTGAATTTCTGAATTTCTGAATTTCTGAATTTCTGAATTTCTGAATTTCTTGGATTTTTCGAATTTCTAGAATTTCTCAATTTCTGAATTTCTCAAATTTTGAATTTCTGAATTTCTGAATTTCTGAATTTTTGAATTTCTGAATTTCTGAATTTCTGAATTTCTGAATTTCTGAATTTCTGAATTTCTGAATTTCTGAATTTCTGAATTTTTGAATTTCTGAATTTCTGAATTTCTGAATTTCTGAATTTCTGAATTTCTGAATTTCTGAATTTCTTGGATTTTTCGAATTTCTAGAATTTCTGAATTTCTGAATTTCTTGGATTTTTCGAATTTCTGAATTTCTGAATTTCTGTTTTTTTGGTTGAAAAAGGGGATTTTTAAACTTTGAAATAATAAAAAGGACATTTTGCAAAAAATTGAAAATTCCAACAAAAATTTTTTTTTTGGAATTCTGAAACTCTTAAATTCCAAAATTTCTAAATTCAGATAAAATTTTTAGAATTCCAAAATTTTCGAATTTTTAGAATTTCTGAATTTCTGAATTTTCGAATTTCTAGAATTTCTCAATTTCTGTATTTCTGAATTTCTGAATTTTTGAATATTTGAATTTCTGAATTTCTGAATTTCTGAATTTCTGAATTTCTGAATTTCTGAATTTCTGAATTTCTGAATTTCTGAATTTCTGAATTTCTGAATTTCTCAAATTTTGAATTTCTGAATTTCTGAATTTCTGAATTTTTGAATTTCTGAATTTCTGAATTTCTGAATTTCTGAATTTCTGAATTTCTGAATTTCTGAATTTCTTGGATTTTTCGAATTTCTAGAATTTCTCAATTTCTGAATTTCTCAAATTTTGAATTTCTGAATTTCTGAATTTCTGAATTTTTGAATTTCTGAATTTCTGAATTTCTGAATTTCTGAATTTCTGAATTTCTGAATTTCTGAATTTCTGAATTTCTGAATTTTTGAATTTCTGAATTTCTGAATTTCTGAATTTCTGAATTTCTGAATTTCTGAATTTCTTGGATTTTTCGAATTTCTAGAATTTCTCAATTTCTGAATTTCTGAATTTTTTCTAGAAAAAATCGAAATCGGCAAGTTCGATAGGATCCTCCTCATCTTGCTCACCCGATCCTACTTCCCCTACCGTAGTTATCACACGCTACGCGGCCGCGTCGCGTCGACAGCCACCGCGTAGCGGTGGTGTACCAACTACAGTAACCCAAAGATCAAAGGGTTTAGGTCATTTTAATATGAGATTGCTGCCTCCGAGGCAGCAGTCGTATGACGTGGCAAGGGGAAGTGAATGGGTTGAGGCGGACATCTAGGACTTGTGGACACACAGACAGACATGTGAGGAAATAGAGTGTTGTGGAGTGCGGAGAAATGTTTTTTTTTTTTGAAATTAGTTGTAAATCTAATGTCAGGTGTTTGTTTTGATTTAAAGTTCATTTTAGAATTTAGGTGGAGTTTTGAAAACTCAATTTTTTGGAATTTTTCCAAAATTCAAAGTTTCGATTTTTTTGGAATTTTCAGTGTGTTGTGGAATGAAAGTGTGCAGAGAAATGGACTTTTTGAGATTTTTGAAAAACTAATAGTGTGGTTTTATTTTGAATTTTTGAATTTTTCGGAAACTTTGAAAAATGAGACTTTTTTGAAATTTCTGAATTTTTGAATTCTGAAAGTTGGGATTTCTGAAAATGCTGATTTTTTGGTAATTTTCGACTATTCTGTAGTTTCTGACTTTTGAGATTTCAATTTTTGAGTTTTTGGGAGTCTTAAACTTTTAAAACATGTAGAATTTCCGGATTTTCTGAAAATCTGAATAACGTAATTTCTGGGTTTTTCTATTTTTTGGAAGCGTTAATTTC